CTTGGCTAATTTCCTGTGACTGCTATTTGCCTAAGTAAACGTAAATGGAAACTGTGACAAGCGTATAAATGATAACACAAAGTAGGTTTAAAATATCTTTCAATAATTATTACGTTCATTTATGAATGACAACAGCAAAGTCAGTAAATGTATTATTTACATACTTAGATGCATTCAGTTCATTTATTTACCAGATGCAGTTGCATTAATGAAATAATTAAATGTATCCATCATAATTACATAACCAGACTTTCCATCTCACAATATGTCATTTTACATTATTATATTGATTAGCAATGGCTGTTTTTTTGTATGTGAAGCATCATCCTGGCAATGGAGTCTTGGTAATCACCACAACCAGCGTATTGCACAAGTTCCAGAACATCTACAGATTGGATGTTAAGACAGACAGGGATGTAGCTGCCCCACCAACTAAATCAAAGTGAATATTTTAAAGATATTAAAGGTTTCCTCACAAGCACTTTGGGCATGTGCTTAAAGAAGAACTGCAGGTATTTGTTTTTTAAATTAACCCTTGCAGGGGTGCTACCCCCTGCAAGGGTTAAGTGCTTGTTTTGGTCTAGGCCTGAAAATAATAAAAAGATATACTCACCCAATCCTCCGACAGTGGTCCCTGCAGCCTGGCTCCTCCTCCTCTGCAGCATCAGAGTGTCCCCAGTGTCCTCACATCCTATACACTGTGTATAGAACGTGATGATTTATGGACCTTAGACCGCTGCAACGGAGGGGGAGAGACGCTGCAGGGATCGGTCTAAGAGCAAAATGAGCACTTAACTCTTGCAGTGCAAAAGTAGCCCCACTACAAGGGCTAATAAAAAATGTACCCAGAGTTCTTTAACATTATATTTGCCATTTTGCATTGTTAATGTGACCAGGCCTAAAATGATTCTAAGGTAAAAACAGTTATATTAGAATGAAAATTATAATGTGCCTATAACTTGTGTTAGTGCACTGTAGCTGTACGTTGAGGTGCATTGGAAGCAGAATTATTGCACCCCAATACACAGCATCTGCATTAAATAATAATATACTGCTATACTGTACATGCTCTGTGCATAGCACCTAAAAAAAATGATGCAGGACATATTTTGTTGTACATTGCATTGACTACCTATTCAACATATGCATGCTATGCAGCGCACTGCATTTCAGTGTGAACAAGCCCTTACTCTTATAAAAAATATACTTCAGTATCTGTACAGCCACTAGGTCTTAAGTATTAAGATAAGGTTGTACACAGGGCCTAAAATTCTTACTATATTATGAATAATCCTTTGTATGCTAAGGACATGTACCAGAATTGATCTGCGAGGCTGCACAGAGAATATGATAACATCTACAAAATTGTAATAACCCAGCTATTGTGTAGCACAGTAAAACAGGAGGGAGACCTTGTAAATGTGCATAGCAAATATGGCACTCCCATGTACACATTTTTTTCAAGTTGTTGACTGCAAGTACCTGCGTTAGCTTTGATATCATTACCTGTGTCTCTGTGAAGCCCCTTGGGCCCTGGGCCCAGGCTGTACACGGGGCCTTAACCTGTCTCCAATTTAAAATGGAAAAAACAGACTGCTTGGATGGCTGCTCAGGATACTTTAAAACAAATCTCGCTTGAAAAAGTGGACCAAACATTTCTTTACTTAACTGGATGACTTTTAGCCATGATAGTTAGAGCATAGACCCAGACTAAACATATCAGACCAGTGAAAACAACTAATGGGACTATTATCATCAACTCCCCAGATGATATTTTCTCTGTCCTTTCTGCTTTTCATGCTTCCAGCCTACCTAAAGCAAATTAAAGTTCCAACTTTATGTTGAGTTCATCAATAGATCTTGGAAGCCCTATTTACACTCAGGAATATAGAAGAGGCTGTAGCAACTTTCCCCAACCATAAAACCTCCAATGCAGATGCCCTTCCGACTGAATTTTTCAAACGGTATGGTGGTCTATAGGTATATATAATACTCCTGCGCTAGTGTATCTGTAACCTAAAGTTTGCCAGCACTTTAAATGTACTTATACATCAACAGTGAGCAATAAACTTATATTAGGTGTGGTGCTGTGTGATCCCTATGTAAAGTGCTCTGCACTGAATCGCTCAACGTAAATATTACATATAATCTTCAATAGTTTAACCAAATATTGTGCTATACACTGTGTTGAACCAACCATCAATCTGTGACAGTGTTATTATAATCCACACTCTGTGTAATCACCATCTTTCCTTAATAGCGGGTCTTCCCTTCTACCTCTGTGCTTATGCTCTCACCTTCTAGGTTGGACCCGATATCAGTCTCAGGTCTACTGCACTTTCTGACCAATTCTTGAGGCCAACTACTCTCCGGGTCTTGCGTAACTTATAAGTACCACCCATACTGAATGAACAAATAATATCCAACCATAGTGCTTTCCACATAAACAACATTAAAAATAAAAGCTAAAAACCACTCACATTGAAATGTGGGTTTTCACCATAGCAATGCAGTGACTTGACGTCCTGTGCTGACAAACCCCCCATAGCCTGTATTCTGGCTGCTTTGGAGAATTTTCTTTTTGAACATTTAAAAATAGCTTTTCTGCAAGCCTTATTTCAGGTCCATAAACTTATTTTAATCCCACATCAAGGAAATAGTTAACTCAAATGAATTCAGAGACAGTTACATGGGCTAAATGGAAACCTTACAAACTAGGTAAAGAATGTGAGGGCTGCTATGCGTTTGCTCTCTTTTCACGCCTCTGTCTCCCCCTTGCTCCTGTAGTGAGGGAAGAGTATTTTCTCTTTCTAAGCCGAACACATGTTTAACTGACTTTGTGTTGTAATTAGATATATAGATGCGCGCTGATCAACATGCTGATGAACAACCTGATCTATAGCTTAATGAAGACACAATGTGATCCTTCTTTATTCTGTTTAATAAAGTTAATAAAAAAAAAAAAATGCAATTTCAGGCTTGGTTAGATGATGAGGTGCTGCTACCAGCTTCCTATGTCATTATGATTATGGTGAGAACCTAGGTATTCATACCTTCTGTAGCAGTTATGAATATGTGTCTATGCAACAGAGAGTGGGTTCCCTTTTCTACTTGCAGATGGTGAATTGGGAACACCTAGGAACTCTCATGTTGTAGGAGGACCAGAGTGATTCATGGGTGCAGGAGAATCAGAGATGTTAATTCCCACCACTTGAACAGACTACAAACACGTCTGTGGAAAAAAACAGACATTTCTGAAATAAAAAATGTAGGGGTAAGATGCACGGGCAACTTATCTTCAGAACTCCATTTTTTGTTGTCCTTATACACATGAAAAATACATCATACAATACAGTGAATCACCTTTAAAATAATTGTTTTTATTTTCGTTTAATGGCACTTCCATCAATTACTTGTAATGAAACAAACAGGCACATTATACATAACTTTGCTTATTTGCTGTGGGATAGCTATATGATTGACAGGCATTAAACACTATCTGTACTGAGCTCACCTCTAGGTTTTCACTTTGTGACTTCTACCCCTGTGAACACTCAGATTGATCTGAACAGCTTTCACAAAACAGTCTTGTAAAAGGCAGTTAGGACAGGATATAATTCCTTCCCTTTAATAATAGTACATACACAAAACATTTGACTCGGAATCTCATTATGAGAATGTTCAATACGGAGTCTGCATTTTGGAGCATGGAAATAAAATGAAGACTTTGAAGTGGTCAATAGCCAGCATTGATTCATGTAGTTGGACATAAAAACTAGTGTTAAATAAAATGCAAAATTACCTTCTTACACTAAAGGGGTCTAATTATACATTTTTTTCACCCAATATTTACTTTAATTTGCTTCAATTGAAAAATGTGTAGATCCTTAAGTTAAAAAGGGGCTAGAAGCTCTGTCAGGTTTTATAGCCATGTATGTCCCTATTGGAGGATTTCCTCACTTCCTATTTCAGTAAGATGGGGACAAATTTAGATGTAAAAACAATTTTTTTAGTGCGGAATGTTTGAGAACTTTTGTCGGGTCTTTATTGCTGTAAAATTCCTGTTCCAGTGACAGTGGCTGGAAGCAGAAATGTTCCTAAACACCCAGATGGCACAAAAAAAGCAGTTACAGGTTAGGTAAGCGGGATACCACGGTCTTACCAGCAGCCGTGGAACTTTAAACCCCAGTATACCTTTTTTGACCAGAGCTTGACAGGTTTGTAGAGATTACTGCAGACCCACAGTAGCTGGGTGACAGACAGACAGACTGACTTTCCCCGAAAATAAGACCTAGTACTATTTTTGGGAATTGCTAAAATATACCCCAAAATAAGACCTAGTTGTGAGCATTCCCAGGGCCAGTGGTGGCATAAGAGGGAACTTGAAGAGAGGCGGGAGAGAATCAGCGGTGCCAACGAAGCCAGCGCTAGAGGAAGCGAGGCGGCAGCGGAGGGAGCAGAGCCGCATAAGCCGATGCTTCCTCTATAGCACCAGCTCCCGTCACAGTGAGCAATACCAAATGCACTCCGACTGTGAGGAATCGATAGTGAAAGCGCGCTTCCCTCATTCTGGCCAGCGATTGGTTACCAAATTGCTCTTGGAATGGTACGGCACCCCTGATCACCACATTTTTGTACATGAATACATGTAGACTGTTGTACATGAATAAGTGTGGATTGTTGTACATTAAAAAAAAAATAAGACGTACCCCAAAAATAAGACCTAGTGTGTTTTTTTGAGCCAAAAAAAATATAAGAGACAGTGTCTTATTTTCAGGGAAACATGGTATGTGTATATGTACATTTTTTTTGATGAACTTAATAGTTACAATAGCATATTACAAGGTAGAGTAAAAGTAAATATCTGAATTCACTACTATTATGTGTAACAGAGAGGATTACTGTGATAGCATGGAAGATCATCCATAAGGTTCCTGAATTTGCTTAAACAACAACAAGTGATAGATTTATATGAAAGAAAGAAAGCAAGAAAGAATGCATCTACATAGTAACATTCACAGTACTCCCATGCACTCTGAATCCTTCACATAGATCATATACATGGGAAAAGCTTCTGTCAAATACTACATCATAAGTGTTTAGCGTATAGCATATGAAGTCTCATTGAGGATACAGTTAGGTGTCCTGTCCCTGACTGAGTGTTCTAAAACTTAACAGACATGGGAATCTGCTATATAAAACCTGGAAGAAGTTAGATTTTAAATGATCTGGAGTGCATAAGCCAAGATGTGATGGTTCTCTCAAAGCTCTTCCCGAATTCGTTTATCTGTAGTCTTGATGTTCAAGTCCATTTTATCCACTTTTCCTCCCAAACGATCAATTATATCATCCTGTTCATCAATCTCAGACTGTAACCCCATGGCCAAGTTTTTTAATCGGCCTAAGCCTACAGACATTTCATCTGGAAGAGAGAGATAGGAAGTTACATAATATAGCTACAAAGTTAGTCAGGTTGAAAAAAAGTCCATCGAGTTCAACCTATTATGCGAGTGTTTAAAGCAGAATTCCAGCCAGGCATAAGATATAAATGAATGGCCCACAAATCTACATTCACCAACAACCTAGAATAATAAACTTGAATTTTACACTTTTTTCCTATACTAAAGGTATGGCTGACTAGCACTTCCGTCCTTCTCTTATGCGATTCCTTTCTGTATTTTGATCAGCTTTGCTTGTGTACAGTACATGTGCAAAATCATTCCAGGAAACTGTCATTTTTTAAAGTTTTATTTGCACTTCTGTGGATACTGTACAACCGCTGTCATTACTGTATATGTAATCATACTGTAAAAATGTAGGTATTCTATGAGCTCAATAAACAGCGTCTGAAAAAAAATTCAATAGCCCATTACAAGATAAAATAACAAAACCAGCTTTGGATGCAATATTTCCCTTAAGTGCCCATTCACTCTGAGCATTTAATCGTGCAATTTCTGCCGCGATAGCGCGCATATTCGCTGCGCGATATCGCAAGAAGTCGCTCGTCCAATGATTTTCAATGGAGCTGTTCTATGTGCAGGACCCTTTTTTCCGTGGATGTCGTGCGATTTTCTCTTTTTGCATGCAGTCCGACCGCGTGGAAATCCGAGGCAAGTGTCGCTCAGTGTGAATGGGGCCTAAGGGCCAGTTCACACCACAAACTCCACGTTCCAATGCATTCGACCTCTGGAACGCAAGCCGGCTCTCTGTGTTCAGGGGTGGGAGGGGGCGTGGCGGTGCATTGAAGTCAATGGCACCGCAGCCACGCCCCCCGCCCGAGGTGTGATTGGCGGCAATCGAACATGTGGCACATTAGTGCCTGCGCTCCGGTCCAGTGCGTCCTGCAAAAATAATGCAAGCACTAATGTGCCTGCGTTACTGATGCCGGCGGGTGGCGTGGCTGCAGTGCCATTGACTCCCGCCCCCAAACACAGGGAGCCGGCTTGCGTTCCAGAGGCCGAACGCACTGGAATGCAGAGTTTGTGGTGTGAACTGGCCCTTAATCCAGAGATTTCCCATGCAGTACTTTTTTCTACCACTAGATGTCCTCAGCCTGCTGGCCAGCATCCTTTAACCCACTTCCTCTAAATACAGGACCTGCCCCTGCCTGTTACTGGACAGTGAAAGCAGAAGCAGCACAGTGATCTGCTGCCGCCGTTGTATCTTCTATACAAGGGCTGCAAGATACTGATACCAGGTCAAAGTCTTACAAATACTTAAACTGCTCACATTAAAAAATACATTTAATCATATATTAAAGAAGAACAAGGGCATACATACTTAACCCTTCCAGTGGGGCTACCCCCGCACTGCAAGGGTTAAGTACTCGCTTTTATCTAGGGACAAAAAACAGAAAATATACTCATCTGAACCTTGCAGCCAGATGGTTGTAAGATTGGACCCCCCCAGCCCGTCTGCTCATCTGGTGCAGCGATGGAATGTACCTTAGCGTCCTCATGCCCTATACACTGTTAGGAGGTGATGACTGACAGAACCTTAGACCGCCGGAGTGGAGGGGGAGTGAGGTTGCAGGGACTGGTCTAACAGCCAAAGTTCAGGTGAGTATAACTTTGCTATTTTCGTCCCTAGACCAAAACCAGTACTTAACCCTTGCAGTGCGGGAATAAACCCACTGCAAGTTTTAAGAATATGCATGCCTGCATTTCTATAGAGCTGCATTAATCTATGTATTTTACTGTATATCTGCATAAAATTCAGTCTTAACACCATGACACATTTTAGGCAAGTTGCTGGAATGATGTTAGAGTTTGCCACATGTATACACAGAGACCAAAATAAGGGAAAACTGCTCAGCCCAATACCAGGAGATACCTTTATGCTCTGGGAAATGTGCAGTTGTGGTCCTCAAGGTGTGTATGAAGTAATTGGGTTATTTATATTACTATTATATTCATTAATTACTTAATAAAGTGTAAGGACAATGCAGGAACATATTAGTGCAAAAGAAACGGCTTACCTAAATTATTATCAACTTTCATATGGTATTCTTGGAGCACCCGATTTTTGGATGGATATCCAGATCCTGCTGCACCCACGTTACTGCTGTTATCTACAAACAAAGGAAATGTTATACAAAGAAAAATAAATTTGCCTTAAATTGAAGAAATGTATTGAAACAAAATCTAGGACTGAAAGTTCTAGCTAACTTGTTTTCTATTGGTGTGATGTATTAGGTCTCGCACGTGGTTACTGATAACCGTTCATCTATATATTTAAAGTCAGTTGTGCGACAGAAGGTTATGGATACAAAAAAAAATACGCTCACAAAATCTTAATAAAACCACTAAAGTAAACCTATAACGAAAGAAACACTGATTCTTCTGTCAGTGGATATTTTAACTAAGAATATGTTACTAGATCTTCCTTTACTTCCTGGAACTCTGGCAAATGTGACTAGGACATGTGACCATGCACATCATCTCAGGGGAGAAAAATGCCTTTCCCTGAGATCTCATGAGATTACAGATGAGACTTCCCAGCAATGCTCTGCTGATGTAACCTTCCCAGGATGCAATGCTTGGGCACGATTACATAATTTATACCAAAGTGGACCAGGAAGTGGAAAAACAATAATTGTAAGTAAAATAAAAATATGTTTGTTTGTTTAGCGCATGAATGTAAGATGATTTCATATCAGTATGCAGAGTTGTATGCTGATGTGATTTTTAGTCAAGGGGGTAAAGGTCCACTTCAAAGCAAACCTGTGCTTGTCTCATGTAGGCCAAAGCAACAGGTTCAGTTTAATGTACTCCTGAGCTTAGTATCCCTTTAAGATGACCTCACTGATCCCTCCCTCCTTCTGCAGAGATGTCTACTTACCGAGTTCCAACAGCTCCAGGCAACGTTATTTGTTTACATCATGCGACAGATGCCTTCCTCTCCTGGCCGCATCTGTGCTACAGATCCTAACTGTGCAGGCGTGGCTAGGAGAAGGAGCCGTCCACTGCAGGACATAAATAGAGGCCGGGCCCATCAGAACTCTGTTAGTTTGCATCTGCGCAGGCGGAGGGATTGGTAACATCATCTTAAAGGGGCCAAAAATGTTAAAGGTTGTTTTGAAGTGCACTTATCCTTTAAAAAAAACCACACCATTGGAATACTGTCATATATGGTAGGAGAGCAAGTAAACCACTGAGTATAAAACAGGATAGTTCTCAAAACTGACATACTTTTAGGCCTCATGCACACAGGCATAGAACACTCTGCATTCAGATGCATAATTTAGGGATCGTGAACACAACATACAATCCTTTGGTTTCAGATCGGTAATTTTTATGGATCTGAACACAGCAGTGTTGTATTTCATGATCCCATGCACAGTGACCCGTAAAGCAAAAATGTTAAGATCTGTGTTGGAGGACTTGCACATGGAGTGTATTTATGCTATAAAAAATGGAATGTGTGCCAACCAACGTTTACATGTGTACAGCGCAAATGTACTCTAATGGAGCCACAGCAGCCTAGCAACCAACGGCGCTAGGCGGCAGGAGATGCCTGTGTCTCAGCAACCAAGAGGGCTGGGCAGCAGGAGCCATCTGCATTAGAGTAATCAAGGGTGCAAAATGGGCACTAGATGGCAGAAGCCTCCTGCACCCTAGCAACCAATAGAGCCGCTAGGGTACACATGCGCCATACGTTGTACACATGTAAACGTAAGCTCAAACTATACATGCGTATGGTGTATGGACAAGATTTTACCTAGGCTCTTACAGTCAGCAAAATCCTACATAATATCACACACCAGTGTGCATGAAGCCTAAAATGTGCAGGTTTTTTGAACATCATACTGATCCTGGTCTCAGTACATAAGGAATCATTGACCTGGAACAAGCACACAGCCAGTAGCGTCTTAAAATAAATAAATTTATATATATATATATTACAATTAAGCAGTGACAGCCATCCTATTTAGGTCTTCACAAGGTTCCCATTAACTTGCTGGACCAACACATCACACCAGTCTTACTTGTTTTTACATACCTAAAGTGTCACGTTTCAGGAGGTTTGGATGAGTAGCTTCATATCTGTCCTCATGCACTTTGCTGCTCGTCATTGCTTCCTCCAATCTAGACAACAGAATTTACACAGCTCAGAATTAAATACCTTTTAATGGATTTTATTATCTAGAGCGAGGGTAGTCGCTCGCGTTCTAATGGAAACTAAATTCTAAAAGGAAGCAATATCTCAATTTCACAAATCAGATTCTCTTGAATCCTGTCATATTCATTCTCAGGTTTGCTCGTGTGTCTTATCCCGATCACTGGGCTGGCAGTATGCATCCCTTCATACAATTTCCTGTCACCTGTTTACTTGTGTCTTTGCCCTCTCTACACCTGTGTCTCCTCTGCTCTGTGCTTGTGGCTGTTTAGGAGCTTGGTTTGACAGTCTGTCCTGACTTGACCTGCAAACCCCCATCTCTTTTTACATATGGCATTTACCTCCTGCCCTTGTTTGACAGCTGACCTTTAGTGGCTTCTGATCCTGTCCGAGTATCTAGACCTATATCCTGCTGCCTCAAGTTATCCCACTGCTTGGTGTCCTTAATGAACCGGCCAACATTCGCTCAGTGGGTGGCCCTGTCTGCTGGCCCCCCTGCCAGACATCCTTAGACTGAAAAATCAAAGGAGCCGGGCAGAAAATTGTTGACTAAACAGAGCCTGCATGCAATCAGTATTTTGACAGCCGGTGGGGCCACCAGTCAATATACAATAGCCACAGTGGGAGATCCCTCCATCTGAGCTGTTTATTGTCGATGGGGTAACCAGCTAGATTTTTTTCTTTAAGCCTCAAAGCTGAAAAAAAATAAAAAATCTTCAGTGTATGTAGTGTATACTTGATGATTGGCACTGCATTTGATCATGTCTGTTCTTCTGTTAATAAAGCAGTTCTGGGGACCTAAGCCTCTGCCACCTGCTGATGACACTGTGCATTTCTGTTTGTCCCTCTGTCCTGTTTCTCTGGAACCCCGGCATCCATTACCGCTTGACCTTGTTTAACTTTCCTAAAAAATGTTTTTTTACCAAAAAAAAAAAAACCAATGCATCCACCACTTCCATTACTAAGTAATCTCCTGTGTCCCAAAAGAGAAGTAAAGCCAAAAAAAGAGTTTAGCTTTGCTTCTCTTTTAAACAAATCTGTCTCTACAATGCATCAATAGGCTTTTAGTTATAGCATTTGATTCTTAGAAAGGCGTGATGGTTAACACCCTAAGGATGGAGGCAATCATCTAAGTTCTGAACGTAATCAAAAACATAGAAAATGAGCTAGAAGTCTGTTCAACCATAATTCACATTAAGTGTACCCACACTTATTATGTATAGCTTTTTTTTTTTTTTTTTTAGGAGGACAAATAGGGCTTTCGTTTGATATCAAATATTTATAACATTAACTGTAATTATATATGAATAAAATCTAACCAAGTATGAGAAATTAAGACATTTTCATTTTTTCCTCAAACATGGTTTGAGGAACACATAGGTTTTACTGCAAAAAAAACAAACAGCCATAATTGTATTCTACAATGTTAGCGCTGAAGGGGTTATTTTTTTCCATTTAAATAAAAGAATTAAAAATAGGTAATAACTAACCAAGGTTAAAATGATAATTTAAAAAACACCTGCATATGCCAAAAACAGTGCTACTGTACTGATAAGTTATAAACTGATAATCATTAATGGGTAATTTTTTTTAATAAAAGTTTTTTTTTTTAATTATTATTACTTTTGGGACACTTGGTAGCACCGGCTCTTCTTGGACACTTTGTAGCACTGATCTACTTCTCTCGCCTCAGATCACACTGAGGAGAGAGAGAAGCAGAGGCAACGCTGATTTGAATCATTGGCTGTCACAGTGTGTTACTGATGGCAGTGACTACTTGTTACTGCGATCACGTGAGCAGAATTAGAGATTGCCTGGTAAGTATAACGGAGGGGGGAGTGCGGGGGGACAGAAGGGCTGCCGCCCTAACGTCTTTAAAGCCCATGCTTTCCAGGACAACATGGAACGTCCTAACGTCTGAGAGAGGTTAAAGTACAGACAAAACTGAAAGAAAGTAAAAGTGATTTACTTGTTGCTAGCTTTGTAATCATAGGCTCCATTTTGTGGGGGTGTCTCAGCAGGTTTGGCTTTGAAATAGTTGGTGAAACCACTAAACATGCTCTTGATGCTATTAATATGCCTCTGACTGGTCTTCATATCTTGTTCCATCTTATCCACCATCTTTTCTGTGCGTTTTAAGGCCTCTCCCTGACGCATTAGTTCCTGCAGACAAAAATAAAACACATTCGAATTAGACCCCATTCACAGCAGTGTTGTGCAGTTAAAGTGTACATCAACCCAATTACTAAAATGTCTTATAATCTTTAAAAATGTTAATATATCTTTCTAAATATTTGTAAATCTGCAGCTTTTATTAAAAAGCGCTTAGGGGCTGATTTATAACACTTCAACCCACCATATAGCTGGGGTGAATGTCGTTCATATGTCACTAACGTCACTAGATGGGGCCCACATGCACTTCATTACCAGACGAACATCGTGCACAAATGAAGAACTGTGGTTGAGAAAGAAGTCAGATGTTACGTAACCAAGTGAAAATACTCTCAATTCTAAGAAAGCAATGCTTTACTTCACAGTATTATAGCGGAGGGTTTCTTTTACTTTTGGATTCATCATCTACCCTGAAATGATTATTCTCTAGTTGCTACCCAAACCCTACACTACAGCTTTCTAGATCTTGCATGAGAAAAAGCTAAAACAGCTGCATGAAGGGTGGAATAAACAGATCTATGATTGTTACCTGTGCTGTAAACCAGAGGTTCTAGTTACACATTACATTTCTCAGCTAGAGGTGGGTGGGATTGGGGTGGAAATTATGCTGGAGATAAAACTCAATCTTTCAAAACCTGAGCTCATGATATTTCCTCCTGCCCGTGCACCTTCCCCCAACTTTTCCCTTGAGATTGTTAACACAACTATCCAACCCTCCCCCACATGCCAAGGTCCTAGGTGCCCTCCTTGACTCAGACCCCACCTTTCTTCCCCTTATCCAAAGCCTGCCGCCTTCACCTTCGTAAACATCTCGAAAATACGCCCTTTCCTCACCAAGGAAACCGCTAAATTACTCATCCACTCACTTGTTATATCTCGTCTTAACTATTGCAACTCCCTCCTCATTGGCCTACCTCTACACAGGCTATCCCCCTTCAGTCTATCATGAATGCACCTGCCAGACTCAGTCACCTAACCAACCGCTCAGTGTCTGCAAACCCCCCTCTGCTAATCCCTACACAGGCTTCCATTATCCCAAAGGATAAAGTTCAAAATATTAACAACCAGTTACAAAGCTATCCACAACTCTGCCCCGGCTATATCTCAAACCTGGTATTACCCTAACCGTCCCCTCCGCTCTTCAAATGACCTTCTACTTTCCAGCTCCCTCATCAACTCCTCCCATGCTCACCTCCAGGCCTTCACTAGAGCCTCTCCCATCCTATGGAACTCTCTACCCCAACCTGTCCGTCTATCTCACACTCTGACTGCCTTTAGGCGATCCCTTAAGACTCATCTCTTCAGGGAAGCCTATCCCACCTGAACCTAACCACTGAACTATCACTTTATCAAACAATTGATCCCCACACAGCTCCCTCCTCATGTATCACTTCCCCCTCCCTTTTAGACTGTAAGCCCTCAGGGGCAGGGCCCTCCTTACCATCTTGTCTTAAATTGTACTGCAATTGTAATGTCTCCCTTATATTGTAAAGCGCTAAGCAAACTGTTGGCGCTTATAAATCCCGTATAATAATAATAATAAACGTCTCTAGAATCTCAGGCTGTGTAAAACAAAAAGTTGTATATTGACCCATTTAGCCAAAAATAGCTATGTAGAGATTAACTCCAGCCAACCCCAGTTTTTATAGTTAGAACTCCTGTCAGGTTTTTAATGTCAGTAGATTTCTCTGTCATATTTGAAAAGCAGTCTGTATTCACTTAGAAAATATTTTTCTCTTTCTGTTTTTCACCTGAATAGGAAGTGAGGAGAATTTTCTCCCTTATGGGCACACAGACAACAATCATATCCTATAGCTCGGGGGTAGGCAAAATCCAGCCCTCCAGCTGTGGTGAACCTACAAATCCCATTATGCATCTGTCCCTGGGAGTCATGTCTGTGGCTGCTAAAGTCTTGCAATGCCTAATGGGATTTTAAGTTGCACCACAGCTGGAGGGCCGGCGTTCACCTACCCCTATTATAGATAAATTAATCCAGAACCTGACCCTTAACACCACTGATAGGGAATGCACAACTATAGGTGATCCCATATTATAGTTCATAAAACCCCAAAGTAAGCATCAGTTGTTTATCAAGGGTTCAACCGGATGAGTGACAAAACGCGCTAAAACGTTAGTACGTTCAGAAGGCCTCGATCAGATTTTCCTCCACTCTATTGATGTTTCAGGGGGCCTCACAGAACCAAGCACAGACGTCTTATCAACTTGAGGAAGGGGTCCTGTGAGGTCCCAGAAACATTTGTCACCTGTCTTTTTGAGCCCTCAATAAACAACTGGGGCTTATCATGGGTTATTGACTCTATATTATGAGCAATAAAATCCTGTCGCAGGTTTTAACACTTCCTCCATTTACTAAAATAAAAAAAGTATTTTAATTGCTGTCCGATACATAAAAGGACGGTAGTAGAAAAAGACCAAGTGGTTCATTGAGTCTGCCCTTTTTTATTGGTTCGTTTGTTTTCTTCGTTTTAACCTTTTTGGCTGATTATAAATCGATGTTTGTCCCAAGCTCATTTAAATCTTTCCCTTTTGTGGAGAGATTTTCCTTCTTCTCTGACAACAAATAGAGATATAAAGAATTTAGTAGTAGTCTTTTTGAGTCATTTTGAACTACACATTATAACCTAATTTTCTATGTCCAGTATAAAGATCAGAAAACAATTCAATATTATGCAATTCTTAGGCCTCGTTAGACAGGCAACATGCTCCACCAGACCTACACAATTGCAGCGCAATCCTATAGACTGCAATGGTCGAGTCTAGCATGCAGCCCCACTTAGCACACGCAACATGCATGTACGCAACTTTCATCTTTGTAATATCCCCTTTGCACACCGTACCGTTATACCACAGAATCCAACAGTTGCTGGAACAACTGGTGGATGGCGCCACAGCATACAATCTAGAACAGTGGTTCTCAACCTGTGTAACCTCAAGACCCACATTTGTCCTTGGTCATTAAGTCATGACCCAAGTTGCACTGCAATGGAACGCAGTGTGGGCTGCTGTGCTGTGACGGAGCTCCATCCATATGTGCATCCACTTATTCTGGCTCCTGGCACCCCTGCAGGGTGTGCAAGGAAGCTCTATGTCACATCACTCCGGTCCAGGCACCTCTACAGGACACGTGAGGGAGCTTTAAGCAATGCATGTATGGATGGAGCCTCCTTGCGGCCATACCCCAAGTCCACCCCACCTGAAGCTGACACTTGGCACCGGGCAGCATATTGCGAATGGCTGCTTGGCATGAGAACTGACACTCCTGCGCTAGGGGGAGGCTGAGGAGCCTCTCACCTAGAAAAGTGGAAGGCACGCGAGGACCCATTGAACACGGGGTCATGACCCACCAGTTGACAACCAAGGTTCTAGAAGATATGTTGTCCGCACACCATTCTGCTTTGGAATGTCATCTTTATTCATATTCCTTTAGCATTCACATGTCATGCTAAAGGAATATGAATAAAGATGACATTCCGAAGCAAAATTGTGTGTGCGGACAACATATCTTCTAGAATGCATGTTTAAAAGCCTCAGCGGCAATCATTTTAGCATTTTGGTGTTAGGTTGGGGGGCAGAAAAAATGTGGATCATACACTTGTTTTTACCACACGCCTATGACCAGTCTTTCAACTGAAAACACTTTCATTTGACACTTTAACTATCTCACTTTACAAGCACTTGACAGTATTTTGTCTACTCATGGCAGGAGGAGTAAAGACCGCATAATCATAATAATAATTTAAAAAAAACAAACACCCGGTCAGTGAACACCAATGAACTCACCTCTGCAGTTTCAACCCCAACCTTCTCCGATTCATAAATGAGGGATAGTGACTTATTACTACTGTCCACCGTGTTCTGTGCCCTCCACATCACTTCTTGCTGCAGAGACCTCTTTCCGTCCATTTCCTCCCTTCTTCTCCGCTCTGCGGGGTCTTCATTCCAGCTCACAGGCTTGAAGTCTTCATCCTCATCCTCGTCAAAGGGGTTATAGCTTTTAGACATGATGGAGAGCCTACTGTTCTTCTAAACTGTGGTATGACATAAGAGGTACATGTTTTATTACTGCAGCTCTAAAGACAAAAAAGTGTCCATTCCAATTGTCATACAATAAAAGGCATCGCTGATGGTCTCCAACAACTTTCCTGTTGCGCCATACTTGTTATGTAATAGGGAAAGTCCTGATATGGCTTCAGTAAATTAAAGCACTGTAGCCATTAGATAAACATGATAACCAGGCTCTAGCATTTTCAGAAGGAAAGGTCTGACCAAGCAGGCACCATATTACTCTAAACACATCTCTCAGATTTCTCTTTAAAGAAAACCAGTCAGCACTGGGCTTATGGGTATTTTATTCCACACTGCAAGGGTTAACTGCTAATTTATGTCTAGGTTTAAAAGTAACTGATATATTTACCTGAAGCTCAGAGCCGGCCGGCCGTCACAGCGCTCCCTTCAGCCAGCCCCCTCCTCTGCTGCAGCATTGTAGTCTTCCTCGACGTCCTCACAGCTATAGACTTTGTATACATGATGATTAATGGAATCGCTGCAGCAGAGTAGGAGAAAGGCTCCAGGAACCGGTCTCAGAAAGAGCCGGCTCAGAGCATCGGGTGAGTATTTTTTAAAACCTAGACAAAAACTGGGGGGGAAAGTGTGCTGTGAGCCACAATGTCACAGGAGGCCGGGCTCTCCTCCCGCACCGCCGCCCTCAGCCTTCTCTGGCCGATCAGGATGCATAGCGGTGTGGGGGGAGTCAGCTGTCAAAATAGACCGAACTGCTCACCCTCCTGTGACAGCTGATCCAGGATAGAGAATGGTATATAAACATTCAGCGATAAGCTGACCGCTGTTTGTAAATTACTGGACATAGTATGAGTTACTATCGTATGTACCAGTTGGGAAGTGATCTACATTACTTCCTGTTCATTCATAATTGTGGATATAGTAACTCATACTATATCCATAATGTATGAATGAACAGGAACACGCACACAGGGGATATCTGTCTAATTGTGTCCTCAATCTCTTTTTCTATTGTAAAAAGGGAAATATCAGAGGTCTATTTAGACCCTTAATAATTCCCCAAAGCTCCTAACAGTAAAGTAAAAAATAAAAATACTGAATATATTAAAAGTTAATAAAAAAATATTTATAAACATTTCAAAAGGTTAGAAAAAAAAATTTGTTTCGGTCTGACATTAAAGTTTTCGGTTTGAAATGTTCTTTTCGGTGCACCTCTAGTTAATCAAATTATTTCCTGGAGTTCTTCTTTATAGTGTATGTAAAGCCAAAAGCAAAAATGTAATACATTTCATATTACAAGTAGTGATGGGCTCGGGCGTGTTCGCAAGGGCCTCGTGCCGAGCCCGCCGGGAAGCTGTCAGCGCACACTCTCTCACTGTATTGTATCTTTGGACAAGCAGCATTACAGGGCAGGACTACAAACGCCTTCCTCTCTCTGCATAAGAAGGAGAATGGGTTCTGTAGTAATCAAAGATAACTGGGAACAATGTAACTGCAGCACATGAAGTTAACATGACAAGGTTGCTGACAGGATCAACAAGCAATCAATTTTTGGCAGATGTAAACACTTTCAACAGGCCAAATAAAAGGTTATTCAGATAACAGAGCCCTGTAGTTTTTTCGAGTTGGCCATAGACTATACAATCTTATTGTACAGTTTCCTTTAGAATAAAATGGGGACAAACCTAAACAACCAATTCTATTATTATCACATTACACAGGCCCTTGCATTACATAATTTCGGTTTATCAATCAGATTGTATAATGTAGGGTTACACTCTCTTAGCTATGGGCCTTGTAATTTAACAATAAGTTATTGCCGATGCTCAGCCTAATGCCAAATGATCGGTGTATGCCTGTGATCACCAATGCAGATCAGAGACTCTCCTGTGTACATGGAGAATGGGTTCCCTAACACTAAAGATAAGGTGGTGAACACAGCCCACTATCACACACTAAGAGCAGGGAACCGATCACATGACATTATCTTACCGCTTAAGGACGAAGGAAAACACTACTGCCGAGGGTCTTCCACTCACAGCGTTTCCACGAAACCCCCTCCCTCGCTCAGCTGACCCTAGTATCTCGATTCTCGCTACTTCCGCCCAAACTCTGACGGCCCTACACACTTCCGCCCTCCCTCTGGACTAAACCATTAAACGCTGGCAGGGGTGGTGCCAAGTAGCAATGTTCCCCTTGTCTACCAATATTGTGTATTATACCCATGTACTTTATTTTGCTTGTTACTACATGCTGTGCAGTTATTGGCTAGTGGCCTAGGTGCAGTCTAAGATTTCACCATTACTAGTCACTATAGTAACATGCACCGTCACTTCTCTATCGGTCATGTGATGAAGTTGTGTGATGACGTCATCTGACGGCTCCGGGAGGAAGATGGCGGCCAAGGGGGGCGGCGGAGCCTCCCGGGGGTTTTATTTTAACACCGTGCTGTCCCTGGCCCGCTCCCTGGCCGTGCAGAGGCCGGCGGCCCTGGAAAAGGTGAGCCCTTAGCCGGGGAGCGCTGTGTGAGGCGGACACCAGTTCTGTATTGGGGGTGTGAGGAGAGAGGTAGTCACCTGACTATCCATTGGGGAGCCCCGCTGTCACTGGAGCTGGCACAGTGCCTGACACATCTGAGTGCAGAGGATCACCTGTCAGTGACTGATACACAGCCCTGGTACACGGGGCTGGCTTCCAGTTACCTGTCATGGTGGTCATGTTCCAGCTCTATGAGGTGAACTGTGCTGTTTTTTTTTTTTTATTTACACTCCAGTCTGGTTCTGTTTTATTCCATATCCTCACAAACAGCAATAAAAACTCATCATTCCTATAGAAATTGTATCTGTAGATGAGCAGATTACCCCATACGCAAAAATATCTGATCCCACTCCACAACACAACATGCTGGCACTGCATTTAAAGGAACTCTTCTGATTACAGATTCATAGCAGGTCACCATTTCAAGTACAATTAAACCCTTTTTTTGCATATAACTCCTGCTAGCAAGTAGGAGATGTATGCAAAAACATTTAAAAAAAAAAAACAAGTTACCAAACAGGTTTAAAGGAGAATTATGAGATCAGTGAAAATCAATTATCCTCATAGTTCGAGCCGATGTGTGACAATGAAACTGTCACACGTCAGCTCAATAGATCGGGAAGTGAGTGAACACATACCGTCGCTCGCTCACTTCTCGATCATCTCCCTGGAGTGAGTGGTGAATGTCAGTCACCGCTCCCCGTAGGGATTCCCCCGCTCCAATACTCCAGTGCTGACTGGAGGAACGGACGGGGGAAGGGCTGGGCACTGCTTGCTCTGCCTCTAGATAGGCAGAGCCAGCTGTCACTCGCGCAGCTGGTTGGTTCTCGACAGCATTGTCGGGATCCGTCCCGGCTGCGGTGGTCTCAGTATATCGCGAGCCGTAGCTTGCGATATATTAAGCTTTGGGTCACGGGAGGAGGTTAGTATCTATCCTCCCGTGACCCTTAAAGGAGAACTATGAGGTGAGTGCTTTTCACTCACCTCATAGTTCTAGCCGACCTGTGACAATGAGATTGTCACAGGTCGGCTCAGTAGATCGGGAGGTGAGTGAACACATACCGGGTTCGCTCGCCTCTCGGTCCTGTCACGGCTCTCTGCTGTGACAGGGGGAGGGGCTGGATTCCCCTCTCCCCACCGTCCGAAGATCTGTAAACTCTCGAGTGGCCGTGAAGGATCATGAGGCGGGTGCATGCGCAGTAGAGATCTTTGGCCGGGAGAAGAGGAGAGACTCAGTGTAACTCAATGCACACAGACAGGCAGCCTGCACGTGGACAGACACCGTGGGACACAGAAGACACAGCGCTGGATCAGAGTCCTGAAAACTACAGGAAAGAAGATGATCGAATCAAAGGGGGGGATGTGACTTT